TGCAACGTTGTGTACGTGACATTTAAATTAATTCGGTAATAATATTAATATAAAAATTATATATTTAATTAAATTGTAATTATTTGGAGGAAAAAGGTAAAATGCAGCCGTATCATATTTATTTATGGAAAATATTTGTTGTTTGATGCCTACCTACTTACACTGAATAAAGTGATATTAGGTGCAAATGTGGGAGATCTATGCTTCGCAGCAAATGGGCCGACATGGCTGGAGTATATAATACCAAAGACTTATAGAAAATCTACTTAAAATACCTAAAGAAAAAAAGTAATCAACAATTTTCGGTAATAAATAAAAAAAATATTCTTTCTTCTTTTTCTAAGATTTGCGTAGTGTGTGTGTTTTGCCGTATGAGTGAGGTTACTGGAGGTTCAATTCCTCTCCCCCATCCCTAATTTTAGCAGTTCTCCAATTCCTAATTGCCGAAAAGCGCCAGATACCACACTTACCTTCTGGTGTTTCCAGGTATCTATGACCGGGCTGATTGCATTTTTTTATATATATTTATTAAACACATTACATTGGACTTATGAAATAAAAATAGTCCCACAAAACTGTATTCACAGCTTGACTGTGGAATCACTATAATTTTAGTTATAACTAAACAACTTAAATTAGTAGTGTTCTTTTAAAATATTCTATAACTAAGGGAGCTTTTCTAGTAGATAAGTTTTCAAACATTTTCGCCTACCATCAGGTATTCGTACATCAGATCGTTTGCGGCCCTAACTCATATGAAATATACAATTTGCTTCAAAAGATCTCATTATCAATTTAGTTACGGATAGTCCGAATATTGTGTTTTATTGAAGAAGTAGTAGTAGAAGTATTTTCGACGCCACACCATTATAAAGTTTATTTTAAACGATTTATTGATATTTTTATTGTTTGGTTTATATAGGTATTAATACCTACTTAAACTGCATTTACTTTACGGTTTCGCCCGAGTATTTAAGCGTTGCTATTTAATGTGGTAATATTCTTAGGAAATGAGGAATTTAACCGTCAAAGAACCGTTAAGAAGCCGGGCAATAATTTACCGTGGCCTCGGCCTAGAGCAAGAGAAGGAACTCGGTATGAGTCTGACACACAATCTTGCTCCAGTTTGGGTGAAACAAAAAACTATCAAAGTAGGAATAACGTATTTGGACAGTTTGGTGGCTAATAAATACCGTTTCCTACCTGAATCACCAGAGGCATCACCTTTATGTGGATACCATTAAGGAATTAAGAATCGAATAGTTCGATTATAAAGGTTTTTTTCTATCGTACCATATCAATAGAAAGTATATAGTTAGCCTATACATGTAGAAATTTAGACAAACAAATTCTACGATTTATTACGATGTGCACATAATATATTTGTTTAATTTTCGGGGTGAATGTACATATTTGTCCGTGCGTTATCCTTCATTATGTTGTATTTAAATAATTGAGCCATTTCTGTCGAGTTCAACACACCGCTGAGATGATATTTTAATTGCTCGAGGGTCCATTATCCTTTTTTGTTAATTGGAAAGTATTTATGGAGAATTCTAAATCGTGTTATTGTTTTATTTTACATATGTTTTTAATGTGATTACTGTTATGCGTCTTGGGGATATTTTTAATGTACCTATCCACTGTATAATAAACAGTAACAAATGGCGCTTCAATTCTAATGTTCTAACTTCTAACCTATAAACTCTTACATGAGCCGTAAATAATACTTAGGTAGGTACTATTTAACAATTCCTTTAACACTAAATTTAAACTCATCAAAGTGTCATTTTGTCATATTAAATAATATAAAACTAGAAGCAATAGCTTCTATGCGAGATAAGGTACCTTCAAGGAGTAGGTAAGTCTTAAATATAATGTAGTGTATAAATACATTTCAAATTTTAGGTAATAGCCAAAAGTATCCGATAGATCTATATTCTGCGGTATGTGACCTACAATACTTATAATAATTTACGTTTGAGTATCAGTACTATCCCTATGTTTTGTCGAGCTGTAGTGAGTATGATCTCTGTATTACACACAGATATGTAGACTATGTGCCTAAAGTATTCAAATATTTATTTTTAAAGATTTGTTTTTGAATTTGAATTGAATTCCATTCCATATCATAGAAGTGTATAACGGACGCCCCGAAAATGTTAAGCAATTATTGTAATCCAAAGAAATGTCGCACATTTAAGTATTTGAATAAATAATTGACTTTATATACGTATTCTGTGAACCAGAAAATAAAACTTAACGGTTCCGCGCCATAAACCGAGTACTGACAGCATTTCGATTTGCGAATCGATATAATATGTATAAAAGTTTATGAGACAATATTGATGATTTCGGGGAACGATTTTGCGAATGAATCGATTCTCATACCTAATCGTTTTTAGAAATATTCGATTTTGCAAACATTGTTTACAAATAATTAAACTATTACAGTTTTATGTTTCTGCTCCTATTATATTGGATAAAAAATATGAGAGTTCTATGTCTATAAATTTCAACTCGGCAATAGTATGTTTTTTATCTTTTACTCGTATGAATTAGTCTCTCTGATTTTGTCTGAATAAAGTTATGTATCCAAGGGAATTGAAGGTCATTTGGGTTTTTAATGGAAAAGGAGGCAAATGCCTCCCCTTGAAATCGCCAACCCGCATTGAACAAGCGTGGTGATTAATGCTCAAACCTTCTCCGTGTAAAATAAAACGGTTTGATAAAATATCCACAGATGGACATTGACAATTTAGTGCACTTTATCATAGAACATCAATATTAGAGTAACACTTGATTTTTATCAAAAACTTTCATTACTTACATTACCTACATCTGTAACACGTAAGTATTTGTCAATCAATTACTTTCTTCGATGTTATCTATCAGTAGATAGGAACGTATCTAGGTACCTACATCCTATAATTTCTCAAAACTACAGATGTAGGTACTAAGGACTCTTAACTTTTCACCAATATTTTTTGTCCCTTTTGTTAAGAATTACCTGATGGTATCTAAGTAATCAGCGCTACCCATGGACACCCGCAATGTAGGAGTTACGAGTGCGTTGCCAAGCTGTAAGGGATTAGGGTTGTGGAGAATTAGGGATTGGGGAGGGATCGGGGGAGGGGAATTGAACAATATAAGTAATATATTACACAAAGAGTTGTTCCGTGTTAATGTATATAATATATAATATATATGATCCACAAATTGTTGTTGTTGTATGTGAAATTGTATGTTTGTAACCGCACCCACGACACAGGAGAAAATCCTAAAGCGTGGGCACCGTTTCTTTATAAAAAAAGAAATACGCTAACAAAGACGCGGGCAAAAGCTAGTTGATAAAATAAAACTGTTTGATAAAATATCCACAGATGGACCTATGGATTTATGTCCCTTTTGTTAAGGATTACCTGATGGTAAGTAATCAGCGCTACCCATGGACACGCGCAATGGAGGAGTTACGAGCGCGTTGCCAAGCTTTTAGGCATTAGAGTTGAAAATCAAATCTTAACTACATTGTAATGGTCTTTGAATAATTTGTTAAAACAATAACTTCTCGCTTTGCCCGCGTGTTACTAATTTTTCTCTTTTAGCGTGCATACGCTGTCTAAATCTCTTTAAAGTAAACAGAATTTGTAAGTATAGATTATGTGTAGAGTTTTTATTATTTATATATATATATATATATTTTTTAAAGAGTAACGATAGAGTTTCTTGCTCGTTCTTCTCCATTCGAAACTACAATTTGGAACGAGCACCTAGCTTCACTGACGAACAGACTGACAGACTACTATTCTATTTTGACGTTTCAAAAGTACCTATTTATGGTTTATTTGGAATAAATGATTTTGATTTGATTTGATTTGATTTGATTATGGAATAGGAAGCAAACGAGCAGACAGATCACCTGATGGTAAGCGATCGGCGCCGCCCATGGACACCTGCAACACCGGAGGAGTCACAGGTGCATTGCGGACTTTTAACAAGGAGTACGTCCGTTTCTTGAAGGTTTGAAGGTAGTATCGGTTCGGGAATACACCGCCGGAAGATCATTCGAACGTGTTGCTGTGCGGGGCAGAAAGTTACGCCTGAATCGCACAGTTGTTGACTGCCAATCTATGTGATGGGGATGAAAATGTTTTCGCGTGGAACGATGGCGAAAAGATGTGGCGGGGATCAATAAGAACAATTCCTCAGAACACTCCCCCTGCTAAATGCGACAAAGAGTCCATTATTTACTATTAAGTTAAGTACGTAGATACGTTTTATTTGGCAATAGAGTAATAATATTTACTGTTTTATTGAAAATTAGCTACTCTCGCGCGGTTTCACCCGCTGCTCGGCTCCTACAGATGATGCGTCATGTTTTGTAGCCTATAGCACTCAGGAACATTGTAGCTATCAATAAATGAAAGAATTTTTGGAATCCGACCAGCGGTTCCAAAGATTACCTCCTACATACAAACTTACAAACTTAAAAATTTTACCTTTTTATAGCATTAGTATAGACTAGCTACTCTCGCGCGGTTTCACCCGGTGCTCGGCTCATATAGATCGTAGCGTAATGTTTTATAGCCTGTAGCACCCAGGAATATTATATCTATCTATCGGTGAAAGAATTTTAGAAATCCGATCAGCGATTCCAAAGATTACCCCCTACATACAAACTTACAAACTTACAAACATACAAACTTACAAATTTTACCTCTTTATAATATTAGTAAGTACAGATATGCGTGTTGTAACGCTGCCGAAGGTGACCGGCGAGTGTCGGGTCTCCCACTATGATTTTAAGAAACAATGGAATGACAAATAGCATTCCTGCCTCATACAATCAAACAAATCAACAAATCATCAACAGTAAGTAAGTAGGTAAGTATCCATAGACGTTTTCTTCGTGTTTTAAAGTGAAGTAGGTACAGAAGGTATTCAGGTTTTAAATATAGGTACGTGTTAAAATGTCATGAAGTTTGGTTAAAGTAATAAAGTTAGTATGTTAATTGATTTTGTGAATAAACGCTTTTTGCATTCGCATTCGCATTCGCATTCGCATTCGCATTCGCATTCGCATTCGCATTCGCATTCGCATTCGCATTCGCATTCGCATTCGCATTCGCATTCGCATTCGCATTCGCATTCGCATTCG